GGCAGGGAAGGGGCGCGGCCCGAGCGGCTCCGCACCGGCGCGGGTACGAGCACGAGCGCGGGCAAGAGCGCCGGGCCGGCCCTAGACGGAGCGCGCGTGCGCAGCAGGACGGGCGGGAGGGGAACGCGCTTGCGCGGCGGGTTGCAGGCTGGGCTGGGAGCCCACGGCCCGCCCAGCAACACCAAACGCTCGCTCCCATTGGCCCTGAGGACGCGGCGAGGTCGCTCCGGGCTCCCATTGGGAGAGGCGGGAGAGCGTCACTCCCGGGAGGCTCTGCGCCGGGGGCCCGGATCGCCGCGTGGTCTGAACGCCCGATGGGCTACTTCAGCTGTTAGGGTCTTGGGCCTCAGGCGGAGACGCCTGCCGGCGTTGGGGCCTCGGGCCTGCGGCGGGGCCGCCAAGCTGAGCTTTCGGCCTGGGCGACGTGTGCCGCGGCGGCGAGCACAGCCACTCGGCCGGCCACCCGGCAGACCCTGCGCGGCAGCTGTCGGCACTGGTCTCGGTGTCGCACGCTGACCCCGAGGCACTGCCGAGGGTTCTGACGTGGACGCTGAGGCATCCCCCCCCGCGGGTGTGCTGGACACGCTCGGCTCTGCGGGTCTGGTGACTCTTGTCCACACACTTTCCTTCCCAACAGGGGCCCGCTTCACTCTTGAGGCTTTTCGCTGGTTCTCAGCAGCCTTGCCGGGACCCCCTCGGCACACTTTTAACGCCCTGGCTTTGCGTTCCTGCTGGGCTGTTAAGATACCTACACGAACTGTGGTGTGGGCCAGGCTGTTTTTTAGGCCTGTATGTGTGTTAACTTACTTGCTTTTCAAAACAGCCTTAGAAGGTATAGTATTGACCAGGAAGGAAGGAACTCCAGCAGCCGTGTCAGACCATGAGGTGACCTTGGACAATGAGAGGACAGGCATAGGGGAACAACAAGACGTTTGGAGCCTGGGGGCGTGGTGGTGCTGAACTGAGACCCGCAGGAATCTCGAAGGAGCTTTTCCCCAAGTACCTACGGGGAAGTGTATCTGCGTGGTACAGGAGTGGACTGTAGTGGACGTGAAGACGCACGTCCATCCACAGAGAGCCAGCCTTCCTAAGGTCATATCCTTCCTGGGGCAGTCCACATCTGGTGACTGAATGAGGCGGGAGTATGAAGATCTGGCCATTTGGGCCTGACAGTACACCCCTGATGAGCAGTACTTGCTCCAGAGCGCACCTGACTGGCCAAAGCTTTGCTGGGGCTGCGTGCACGTCTCCTTCTCTGCCGAATCCTGCTTCCTTTCACAGTTGCTGATACCAGATAAACATCTTGTACCCCAAACTCCATTGCAGCCTCTGCTTGTGGAGAAACCATCCTGCAACACTTGGTACCAGGAGTAGTCTGAGAAAGAGGTGATAAGATGGGGTTTGAAGCTGAATCACTCACCACTGTGGTGGGTGGAGCACTCACAGCCTCTGGCACAAAGTGGTGATCTAATTGTTAAATCTGCACCTGCGTTGAAGTAGGAGGGTGAACCAGTGAAGTGAAATGGAATACACTAGTGGGTGATACATTAGACCTTTTACATATAATAGCTATAAGGAAGAATAATGGAAATTTATATACCCTGTGCTTCCTGAAGTCCCGGTAGATGATTATATTCCACATAGAGGCACAAATAACAAACGTCCAAAGAGGGTGATGAAAGAGGCACTGATGGAGCAGAAATGTTCAGTGATGGCTCACCTCTGTAGGCAAGAGCTGACAGTAGGAAGGCTGCACCAGAACTTGGCTGGGTGCAAAGGACATTATAGGACCCTAAAACAAGAGGCAGCACTTAACCAACAGAAGTCAGAGTATAGCAATTATAATGGCCAGCAAGATCTGAATGGTAGCCAAGGGAGACTGACCTATAGAGTCACAGAAATGGTTAATAAAACATGGCATCCCTGGAAGCAAAATAAATGGGCAGCTGAGGATACTACCAGCAGAAAAACGTCAAGGATGGATGACTAGGAAAATCAAGATCGTTGCCCCCCAAAAAATTCACCAGTTTCTGGACTTGAGCCACTTTTCAGACATGAAACACATTTACTGAAGAGGTGGCCAGTACTGAGAAGGACCCTGCAATATACCACAGATACACACAGAATTGAATCCGTGGGGCCGGCCCCGTGGCTTAGCGGTTAAGTGCGCGCGCTCCGCTACTAGCAGTCCGGATTCGGATCCCGGCCGCACACCAAAGCACCGCTTGTCCGGCCATGCTGTGGCGGCGTCCCACGTACAGCAACTGGGGGAGGTGCAACTATGACATACAACTGTCTACTGGGGCTTTGGGGAGAAAAAGGTAAAAAAAAAAAAAAAAGGAGAAAGATTGGCAATAGATGTTAGCTCAGGGCCAGTCTTCCTCAGCAAAAAGAGGATGATTGGCATGGATGTTAGCTCAGGGCTGATCTTCCTCACAAAAAAAGAGAATTGAATCCTTAAGTCCTTTTCCAAAGGGTCCAATAGCCATTTCCTTTGATAACTACACCCTGGGGAAAAGTTTCCAAACATTTTGAAAACTGATGCACACAGGGTCTGAATTGACTGATACCTAGATAGCTGGATCATAATCATCGCACCTTTGTTAGAGTGGCTGCATATGGTGGCCAGGTAATGAGTCTTGCTCAGGGTCCAGCTTACAGTAAGTCCATTGGGTTTTGGGTTAGAGCTATCACAATAGGAAAGGCCAAGCGGAAACCTCTGAAACTGCCCCATCCCTATCAAGATCATAAAACAATATCACATCCAGAAGTGGGAATGGCAGCGATTGGCATCCCTTTTAAGGATCTAAAGAATGCAGAGTGGTGGTACTCAAAATCTGTAATTCACCAGCATGACTCCTGTGGAAATCAGAAGGATCCTGGAAGATGACAGTACATTACAATAAAAAACCAAGTAGTAGCCCTGATAACATCCTCTGTACCAGATGTGCTAGGTGGCTATTGATTTGGTGAGTGGGTTCTTTTCTGTCCCTATAAGAAAAGAGGATCGGAAACATTTCACATTCACATAGAATGAAGATATAGTTTTGCATGGTGGTTATGTTACCTCTGTTGCCTTCTGTCGTAGTCCAAAGAGATCAGGACCACCTGGACATCCTGGAGAATATTATGTTGTTTCATTACATCAATAACATGTTGATTAGCCAGAAGAGCAAGAGGCGGAGAAGATGTTGGAGACCTTGATAAGACACAGGTGCTCCAGAGAGTGGGCAATAAACTCTATGAAGATTCGGAGACCTACATCCATAACATTTTTAGGGGTCCAGTGGTCAGCGATGCCCTAGGGCATCCCTTCCAAAAGTAAAAGATAATTATTGCATCTTGCACCTTCAACCATTAGAAAGGATGATATTGTTGGGCCTCTTCAGGTTCTGAAAGCAGCATATTCCACACCTAGGAATACAGCTCTGGCCCAAATATTGGATGATTTGGAGAACTGCCAGCTTTGAGAAGAGTCCAGAACAGGAATAGTTTCTGTAATAAGTCAAGGCTGTGATGCAAATAGCTCTGCTGCCTGGGCCATACAATCTAATAGGTGGTATCGGTGGTTATCGGTGGTGGGGAATAATGCAATGTGGAGTTTCTGGCACATCCCAGTAGATGATTCAGAATGCAGGACTCTTAGGTTCTGCCATGCCATTTGGAGCAAAAAATTATATGCCTTTGGGGGGAAAAATATCCTGGTGTGCTACTGTGCTCTGATAGAGATGGAACACCTGACCTTGGCACACCAAGTGACCATGCAGCTGAAACTGCCCATTATGAGGTTGGTTCTGTCAAACTCACCAAGTCATAAGGTCAGTTGGGCCCACCTACAAGCCATCGTAAGATGGAAGTAGTACATTCAAGATTGAGTGTGAGAATAGACAGAGGTCACAAGTGAGTACAGAATAGGTTGCCCAGACTCACGTGGCATCCACTGCTGTTTTATCAGAGCCTTTCTGTCATTTCACATATATGACCATATGGGCAGCCTTTATGACCAGTTGACAGAGGAGGAAAAATCTTGAGCTTGGTTCATAGCTGGGTTGGCTTGGTATGTGAGTTCAAAATGAAAATGGACAGTAGCTACATTACAGCCTTACTCAGGGGTGGCCTTGAAAGATAGTAGTAAGGGCATATCCTCCCAACAGGCAGAGCTCCTAGTCATTCACATTTTTTGTGTAAAAACTGACCCAAAGTGAGAATATATATGGACTCATGGGCAGTATTGGATGACCTGGGTGACTGGTTAGGTGCCTGGAAGGAAAACAATTGGAAGTTGAGGACAAGGAAGCCAGTGGAGAAGCATGTGGGTAGATGTATTGGAATAAGCACATACGCACCAAGTGGGATGATCTTTGTATAAATATTAATACCCACCAGAGAGCATCCATGAAAGAAGTATTAAACAACCAAGTAGACAGAATGACTTGGCCAATTGACAATAGGAAGCATCTCTCATTGGCACCCTCAATACTGGCATGATGGGCACAAGGACAAAGTGGCCAAGGTGGTGGAGTTTGAGACTATTCATGGGCCCAACAGTGTGGGCTCTCTGACCAAAGCTGATCTAGCTACTAGCTGCCATTGAATGTCTAACCTGCCAACAAAAGAGAACAATGCTGAGCTCCCAATATGGCTCCTTTC